AATAAAGCAGGCAAGGTTAACAGGTAGAAATGCAGCCTGGAGTCCTTGGAGAGAGCACAGCTCTTAGAAATTTGATGCCAAGTACAGCGGTTAATGCCAGACGCTCAGTGTGTCTCACATTTTGTTAGATCTCAGGCCGAGCTGCGGGGCCAGTGTTTTCAGATATCTGATTTCTGGCTCTCCAGCTCAACCCGACCTGACTTAAAAGCTTTGCATGCATGTGGATTTGCGCACAGCATGTGTGTCAAGGTGTGACCGGCAAAAGTCAGACAATCCGAGGGTTACCAGACAACCATAAAAGCACAAAAAGAAAAGGGGAGGGTTGAAGACAGACAAAGAGGAGGACTCAGGAACGAGTTAGGGCGTGAGTTTGGTGTCCCTGTCACCTGGTTGGAATGCAGGTCTTCTTATTGGTGATAAGATCACGAGCAGACACAACGGATTTCCTTCCTGCGCCTGTAACATTGGCAACATCTTTAAAAGACACGGAGTTCAGCCACAATCCCCTTAAGCTAACACAGAAACATTTTACAATTTAACAAATAACAAGCTTCTACTTTATTTGGTAACTGTAACTGAAGTTTCCATTTTGCCTTTTAAGTATTGCTTAAAGAAAACCAGCTAGGGACATACTGAAAGCTGGGTCCTCAGTCAATCCAGTCATAAATCTATACCTAAGCATGTAGTGTAAGCCAGTCAGCTGGTAGGACAGTTGTATCTCTTCCCCCTCCCCGCCTGAGGAAATGGACAGGAGCTTCAGTAGACAGCGGGATGGTAAAGGAAAACAGACCTCCCAGCAGCCAGGAAATTCAAGGAATCCCATGGGTCATATCAGGGTCAGATGGAGAAGTCTCACAGGGAGAGAGGGAGATAAAACAGTGGTGTGACACTAAAAGGGGAGATTTACCAGCAGTAGCCCTCCACTGATATGTACCAATTATCAGATGTGCAGTTTTATTGAGAATAAACCACTTTTTGTTCCATTAGAGCATGAATTACTAATACTTTGTTAGAGTCAAAGATTAAATAGTCAATAGATTTTATTTATTTAAGAGCAAAAATCCACTTGTGAGTATTACAAAAAAGACAGCTTTTTAAAGATACACATTTTGTCAGTTTGATGGAAGTTCATGTAAAGGTGCTGGAAAATCTTCTATTTATAGAGATGCTCTTGATTTTTTTTATATTTAGCTTGGTGTTATAAATAATCCAGTGCTATTTTCATTCTGTTGTGGAGAGAAAGAAAAAGGAACGCTGAGCTTTTAAATGAGTTTAGCCATTGAAAGCGTTATACAGCAAACATGTGCCAGAAAGCTCAGTTTAGAAACGGTTGAATCTGGAATAAAGCATTAATCAAATCCAACCCAAAAAGTTCTCCATTATGACAATCTAAATGTAAGGGTCTGCAGTCATCTAAGGGTTATAAATATTCATTACAAACAATCTTTATAGAGAATTTGTTCAGTTCGAAATTTTTACAATAAGAATATATTCCTGTCAAAAATGAAACATTTTGCTAATATCATATTTTTTGGGTTGATGTGATTATTAGCTAATAATCCTAGTTATGAAAACACACTTTAATACAGTTACAGTTAAAATGCAATTCTTTTTCCTTTGCATTTTTAAGGCATAAAACATTTTTTAATCAAAGTATAGGCATCTCAAGAATTTTCTTATGAAGATACCTATTAAAGTTATGTATTTTATAAAATATGTTCTACATGTTTTAATGTGATACATTAAGACATTTGTATTAAACTAGATATCTCAGATGTCTTTGTATTTAAAATGATACGCGGGTTTAGTGTTTTGGGCTCAAAATAATGACAACCTTTTATAACCTGTAATGTTTGTAGTTTCACTACCGTAGCATTTTATGATGTTTTTATTATATCACTACTATACCTGCTGACAAACAGAATGAGAAAGCACTGGGGTTATTAAACTGGATCAAATCACCAGAGCATTACTAAAAACTTTACTTACCAAAACCATCCACCTATAATGAACTCACACTGATCATTATTAAGTTTAATTTCCCCACTCAGGCTTTTAAAACTCTTATGACTTATGAAACTAGTCTAGATTGAATGAACAAGAATGTGTGTGTGTGTGCCTTTAGTTGAAGCCGGATGATTTAAGGAGTGTTGTTGCAATGACACGCTCTTGGTTTTGTCTGGAGTATCACTGGGACTTGGCACTCTGGTAAAGGCTGTATGAATGAGATTAAAGGTCTGTGCTTTCCTGTTCTTTGATTCACAAATTAGCCACCTCCAGACCATATTCATTGGGAATTACACTGTGAGACGACAAACTCCTGCTGGCAGTCTGTGTTTACCAAGACGTTTGGAAGTTGCTCACACAAAAGATATTAAGAATAATCAAAATTAAGAAAAATATATGTTTTTAGAATAAAATTACCATTGTCTATGGTTTCAGAAGTTAATTTGTTGTGGAAAAATTAAAAGAATTGCTTAATTTCAAATAGAATGCACTCATAAATCTATTCTATCATATCTAATTTTGACTTTAGCTGTCGGTCATTTTAGGACATAGTTGAGATATTTACAATAAACTACAAAAAAAAAAATAAAAAAAAAACATTTCTCCCCACCTGGCATTAAATATTAGTTGTATTTCTTTCTCTAGAGTCACATGCCTACACATTTTCTGCAGCATCCTATTGCATTGGAGCTACATCTTTATGTATTTTACGGTGCATCTCAAACACAGGACTGTCTGACATTACAGAAAAATATTATATCATCCAAGATATCAGAAAAGACTTGTAGGCCTCCATCATTAAGTGTTAAAACCAGATGCCTAGAGATTTTTTGTTCAGACAAGTTAATATACACTTTAACACAGTCTGGAAAAAGCTAAGAGAACAAGATGTTTTGGTGCAAATATGGGTATCAGTTACAGAACAAAAGCCCAAAACATGCTGGCTGAAGTGGATAGGAGGGCATTAGGAGGAAGCTTTAAGACTTAAGGAAAAAACATTGTGGGGCAATAAAAAGCAAACATCAGATAGCTTTAGCACAAATGATTTTTCTGCAATGAAAATTACTCTAAGCACTAGATATAGTCTTTAAGACAACAAAGTCAGTGGTTTGGACCGACCCTTAGAACGGCTTGATCTCAGTCTCACTGGGAATATTGGACACCTTAAAAGGCAAGGGGGGCTTCAACCCTAACTCCCTTTACACCAGTTCTGACAGAAGGAATGGGAAAAAAACTCCAGCAAATTAGTGTAAGAAAATCCATTCCTGATGCCAGTCAGGAATGGGCACAAGTATACTTATGTCAGCTTCTGAATTGATATTGGAGTTTAAAAAGTACCTGTAAATACAGCTGTATGTATGTGGAATTCCAATGTGTGTGCTTGTTCTACATGTGAATAAATGTAGGAATCTATGGAATGTGAAATATGGTAGGAGATAATACAAATTATCTTTTTTTCTTCTCCTCCTGAGAACAAGGAGCCTCTGTGTCACCTGTCTGTCATGGCAGAGCATCAGTAGAGGTTAAGGGTCTTTCTCTTTTTTGCTTTCTTGCTGTCAAACAAGCAAAGGTCAGAGGAGCTGTCTTTGCCACACGAATGGTTTGTAATTGGTGGAGTGGGCTGATGTTGTAGGTGGTCCTTGTTTGAGCATGTCATCCTGCTGAGCTTTTCCTAAACACTACCAGGTTGACAGTGACCTCTTTTCTCTATTTAATTAACCCATTGTCCTCTTTTTGCCTCAGTCAAATCAGTTAATATATCTTCAGCTGGTTTCTTCACCTCATGCCAAAGACATTTGCTTATTTCTTCATGCCAAATCTCAAATGAAGTAATCCAAAATTGTGAAAGTAAAAATCCCATAGAGAACTCTACTAGAATCATTTCTAAAAAAGAGAGTTCCTGTTAGTTAATTAAAAGGCAGAGAAAGTAAAACAAAGCCAGCTTAATTTATTCCATCAAAATAAACATATGTGTGATTATATAACTTTTTTTTTGTCTCTTAAGACAGCCACAGTCCCATGTTAAGATGAGGTTATGAGATGCACCAGTCATTGTGCAACATCCTTTTATGTTGCTTGTGTTAAGTCATGGGCTTGTCTACCACTAAAGCTCACGAATTGACACCACTGTATTGACCCATTTTGTGTGCACAATCAAGGGATCTGACTTTGGTTTCATTCCCTGGAAATTAAAGGAAATTGCCGCTACTCTGTCATTTAAAAAGTTGAAATACTGCCATTAAAAGTAAGAAATACAGAGGTCAATACAGATGTTTGCCAATTGAGAAACGTGCTGTTGACATTATGTACAAACTGCTCGCAGTGTTGTTATTTCTATCTTGGTATTACCTTTGTTTCTCTTGTATTTGTTTTTTATTTAGCTTGAATGTAACCCTGGTTCTGACTTTAGCCTGTTTCAATCTTTTTGTTCCTCTTCATAAGTTTTAGATTAAAGATATCAGATGTTAGAGATTGAGCAAAATGCAAGTTTGAGCAAATGTTAAGAATTCACCTTTGGACAATTTGCCTTTTACTTGTAAAAAGTCCATGAAATTGTTGGATTAAACGTGAAGCCTAGCATATTTAGCTTCTAGTGTATCATTAATTTCTTTTTAAAAGGACTAAATGAATGTTTCCTGGTATCCTTAAATCAGTGTACAAATACCTTCACTAGTAAGAAAGAAGTTACCCAACATTGAGAAAGCATAAGAGGCCCCATTTTCCCTGCATGGAGCAGTCAGCCAAGAGGCCCCACATTCCACTTCAGCATACTGTATTAAAGAGTGTTGACATGCGGGCTGCATGATATCAATTTTCACAGCTCCCACATAATCAACTGTTTGATGCAGGACTACTTTCCGTCTCTCCACATGTGAACATTCTGCTTAAGGTTTCTCAAATCTATTGTCAGCGAATAACAAATGCCAGTAAGTTTTCACATACTGAATATCTCATAACTGTCTTCTTCTTTGTTTTTTTCCCAATTCCAGCAGGCCTATGTGTCCTCCAGCCACCAGATGGCACCCCCAAGTCCCAACACAAACAGTAGTAGCAACAGCAGCGGCGGAGGCGGAGAACAGCTCAGCAAAACAAACCTATATATCCGTGGGCTCCATCCAGGAACTACAGATCAGGACCTGGTGAAGCTCTGCCAACCGTGAGTGATTTTAGACCTTTCATCAACTTTTTGTATTCCTGAAAGATGCCTTATAGACAAGTTTGCCAGCCAGAACCATTGAGGCCGCCATTTTTGTATGTTTCTGCTAAGAACTTAAGGGAGTGATTTGAAAAGCGCTCCATGGTGTAAAACTGCCATTCTGGTGTCTTTTCTGTAGAAGCAGGTTACTTCAGAATGAGGGAAATGAACCAGCTTAACTTCCTAGTTACATATACCCCTTTCCAATTGTGTGGAAAACCCATTTAATTCAAGGAACAATAGGCTTTTAGTGGCAGTGGGAAAAGCTCACTGACAGGTCTACCCAGGTCAAACGACTCGGCAAGTGACCCGTGTTAAATTGCCTGGGCTCTAATCGGCATGTTGTGGGAACACCAAACCCTGCCCTGCCCCAGTCGCTTCTGATCTAAGAAGCTGAAAAAACTCTGATTACATTCAATATACATGGCCCAGCACTGGTGAGAGGGATTTGGACAGATAAAAGAGCGAAACAATAAAGAATACTGACTATGCTCTTGCTCCAGTCCATGTTGCTCTCCATTATTTACTTCCCTGATTTCCGTCCCCCCATCACCAACGCTCACCCAACGTGATGGTGTCACCAGACACAGAGTGGTAGAAACAGTGGCCATGCAGCTTGCCAGCAGGGGGTCAAAGCTGAATGTTAGTGGGTCATTTCGGTTTTGAAAAACCCGGGTTTTCAGTGTGAGAGCTGCTTTAATTAAAGGTACCCCATGCTCCCTATGAGCATAATCTGACTGGTTAACAAAAACTTAAGATGGTTTCAGTCTAGTTCTAGATGGTTTTACCACAGCAGGATTAACACATCATCATCAAGTACCATCATGTGAAGTAAGTAGAATGTTCTTAAATAGAGATAGTGAAGCAAAATGATATTTGATAGTTTACTAAACACGTGACTGGCACCAAAACTGTTCTTAAGCCTTCCGGACTTTTTTCAATGAGCAATAGCTATGATTATAATGTAGCTGTACTGTTAGGTTGTTTGTGCTTTTCACTTGACTGGCGCACCCTTGTGGCTTCTGGCCTAAGGTTAATTTACTGAACATATGATAAAAAGCATATATAACTCAGTCCATGCTGACAGACCATAAACACTAGGGATCGAACGGTTTATGAAAACCGTACGAACCGTTCTGTTCGACTGAACCGAACCGAACCGAACCGTGGATTTTATGAACCGTTCCACACCTAATAAACACCCAAAAGCTACATTAACATGGATACAAATAACTGGATTGAAACCCTGATCAGATCAAAATTGTGTAATGTCTGATCAGAAAGAAATGTCATTCTTAATGAGAGAGGTGGTTTTCTCAGATCACCATTCCGTTTGGTCTTCATGTACACACCCATTAGGATGTTTTGAGTAAAATCATCCCTGTGCATGTGTGCAACATCAGCGTAATGTTTTTCTCTGTACTAGCCTTCATTCACTGGCTCATGGTCCAGGATAAAGGAGGCCGCCCTCTAGCCCTGTAGATAATGAGCTTTAGCATAAGCTACTGTACTGCTGAGACATTAACTAAAATGACCACTAAAATAAATATGCGACAAAGGTCCATAATGGAAAGAAAACTACATCAACAGACACAACTTAAGACCAGGAGAAAATGAAATACCAGGGGCACGAGTGGCTAAAGTTGAGGGAAAGCAGACAGATACGGGTTTGTTTACAAAACTGGCTGCTTCTTCTTCTACTGCTAAATTGTTTCAGAAAATTAGACAGTTCTGCACACATTTGGTACATGATTAAACATGTCCTGATTGGATAATTTTATTTAGGGTCCGTATAAATAGAGATTTTGAGCTTCAGATCAACCATGAGTTAGCTCGGATCATAGACATTTACTGCATGTAAACGTTGCTAATGAGATGGCAACAAATATAAACATGATTAAACATGCTGCTAACATGCTGTTAGACACATTGGTGACAGCAGCAGGTCTGAACTGCTACATCTCCCTTTATTTTTCACACAATAACTCAAACATTTAAAGCACATTATACTTGCTGTCTCTCCAGAAATCCCTACATGCTCTGCGCAAAACAGTAACAAACACATAAGCTAATGAATAAACAGAATAAACTCGTTACAGTGTTAGTTTGATATTTTTTTTCTTATTGTGTTTTATTCTGATTTATTGTTTTTCTTTATATCATAGTATTATTTGTGCTTGGAATATTTTGTTTTTGTTTACTGTACAGTGCTTCAGTTTAACAAATAGTTTCCCTAATGTGGTTTATAAATAAAAGAGATTCATATTTGGACACCCAGACTTTGTTTAGAACAGAGGCCTTTAGCTTACTCCTTGAAAGCTGCTGTGCGGCAGCTATTGGACACATCCATGCCAAAGCAAACCTGCATTAAGCGGCTGAATTACCTCTTTAGCAGGTCTTCAAGCTCACCAACTCCGAGACTGGAAGCATGGTAGTTCATATCACTAAGGCTTGTATACTTTTAAAATGACTTTTCTTTAAAGACATCCCTGTTAGTTTCCACTTTTTGACTTCCAAACTGAAGAAAAGAACAGCTATGTGTTCAGGCAACTAATAGTGTACAAAAACAGGTGAAGGAGGCTCTGCTACAAACATCCAGAATGAACTCTGCCTATTCCACATTTAAAATTGTCATAAAAACTTATAGTATACAAAATTAGCCTGTGTAGTTTGTTTTCTGAAAAAGACAATGTGTACCCTGTTTAGAGAAGGCAACCTTCAATGTCTTACGTGGTGATCAGGCACATTTGATCAAATAGATCTTAAAAGCTGTGCAGGCTAACATATTGGATAACATTTTTCTGCACTGTTTTTATTTAAAAGAGGCTGGGCCTGTGTTTATTTATTTTCTTTTGATCAATAATCGTATTGTGTGACCAGATCTAGCCAAGATTTCTAGCCCACATTAAGTGAAATAAGTTTTAACTTTGATACTGGATGAGTCCCACAGAAACCTGATGTTAGGAAACGTGTGCTGTTCAGATCTGGGCCCTTCATCTTTGGGACAGATGATTAAATTTCAAGAGCTGTTTTAGGCAGGAAAACAACAAAACAGATACACTACCTTGCTTATCATTTATAGCTATTGTACCGAGTCAAAATATAAATCACAACCATGAACTTGTATCTAGTTTTTGACAAATAATCAGAAATATGCACCTTAATGAGCTCCAGTTACTCAGATTCCCTCACATAAAATCTGGTTAATCAATTACCTTTAAAAGGCCTATTTAGTTACGGTTGCACAGCTTGTGTCTTTAATTTAATCCAGATGTGAGGGCCTTAGAGGTTTGCTGGAGAACATCAGTGAACAAATAGCATCATGAAGACCAAGGAGCACAGCAGGCAGGTCATAGATGACGTCGTGGTGAGATTTCAAGCTAGATTAGGTTACAAATGTTTAAACCTTCCAACATCCTGCAGAATGCTAATTAACCCATAATCTATAAAAGGAAAACGTATGCTGCAGTTGATGGCCATTCTCCTAAACTGACAATATAAGCAGAGAGAGAGTTAATCAGATAAGCTGCCAAAGTTCCTCTAATATAACATTGGGAAGGCTGCAGTGATTCACAGCTACTGACAACTCTTCAATTCAGTTTATTTATATAGCACCAATTCACAACACATGTCATCTTAAGGCACTTTAAAGATACATTGCAACTGGATCAAGGATTGGTTCAAAGTTTTCTATCTAAGGAAAACCAGCTGATACCATCCAGACATTGACTTTACAGGAATTAGTCCTCCTGGAAGAGCAGTTGGGAACTGTAGATAATAGTTTGCATTCCGTCATTGAATGTACAAGAATCCCTCACACTGAGCATGCATGCAGTGACAGTGGACAGGAACAACTCCCTTTTAACAGGAAGAAACCTCCAGCAGAACCAGTTTCAGTGTAAGTATAAATGTAGCGCAGTCATGAAAGAAAACCTGTTTAAGTACGATAGACGCTTAAATCACCTAAGATACAAATCCATGCACCGCTTTTCTTACTCGCATTCTTTTCCTATCCACAATAATCTGCTGCAATGTGTTGATATCATAAACAAGCAGCTGTAAAGGTGAAAAAGCTCAAAGGGAATTAATCTCTTTTCAAGAAAACAGTGTATTTGTCAACAGTTAAAGAGAACTTAAAGGAATAGTACACCCAAAACATGATTAGCCTTCATTTTCTACTCACCCCCATGCTGAACAACACCCTGGAGTACTTTTTTGATATCTCAAATGCATCTGGAGATCTGGGAGGCTTCTTGCTGTCTGCTGACATTCAAATAATGGAGGTCTATGGTGACCGAGACAGAAAGGTCCATAAAAGTCCACAAAAAACGTGTCAATATTCCTCCATACTGCTCGTCCAATGTATTCCAAGTGTCCTGAGTGGGTAGCATCCAGAATTTACTCGAAACGAAGTCATTTAGAATGTTTTTAGAGCATAAACAGTAGTGTATAGGATTTCCTGAAAGCGCACACATGCGCGCTCACGACGCTACGGAAGCCGGCACACCAAACCAGCGCATTCAGCTCGGCAATGAACTCATGCTCTTCCTCAACACTGAAGTCCTCAGACATTTTTCTTTCGTTGTTTCTTTCTTTGCACAGGTAAACAGCACATTTCTTCTTCTACGCTTGCATTATCGGCAGAGCAGACGCTGAATGCGCACTTTCATCTGGTTTGGTCTGCCGGCTTCCGTAGCGTCGTGAGCGCGCATGTGTGCGCTTTCAGGAAATCCTATACACTACTGTTTATGCTCTAAAAACATTCTAAATGACTTCGTTTCGAGTAAATTCTGGATGCTACCCACTCAGGACACTTGGAATACATTGGACGAGCAGTATGGAGGAATATTGACACGTTTTTTGTGGACTTTTATGGACCTTTCTGTCTCGGTCACCATAGACCTCCATTATTTGAATGTCAGCAGACAGCAAGAAGCCTCCCAGATCTCCAAATGCATTTG